TCGAGGATGATCAATTAGGGACTCCTTCGGGGTCCGTTTATCCTAGTAGGCTCATGGGTATGATAAAAAAGGACGTTGATTAAGAGCCGAGGTCGAATAGAGATCGATATCAACCATATAATGCAGACCGTAGAAGCAGCAGGTCTGGGCAAAGCTTTTCACGAAATGAGAGGAGAAATGATCGAGGTCAAAATTCACGGGGGTTTGCTACCGAGGAAGATCACGTTAAATATCCAACATCCATATAAAGGTACGACCCCAGTCCAATCTTTTCTATTTTATCGACTAACACTTGCAGGTTCTCGACAAGGATCGACATGAAGCTTTGGACCTTAAAAGTACACGTTGCATTCTTTTTCCCTTAGACCAGTTTTTGTCCCAAATGGGTTTTTCCGATAAGGATTTTAACGAGGCAACCATTATCGTGTTGACTTATAACAATTCAATGTATCCGAGGTTCCCTACAATAAGCCTCGAGTACTGAAGGGCATTACCCTCGAATGTCTACTTTGCTGCAAGAAAATCACTTCGGGACATCGGGTCTCGATAGGAGCACTTTGTAATGGGCCAAACGGTCAGATGAATCGTGTCCGTATAGAATAGTCGAGCCCCGATGGTGAAACATGCATGCATGTACCAATTATCCAAAGAAGCATTTTTTCTATATCAAAGCACTTTGTGTATCAAAGAAACTTGCTACTATACGAACATCATACCTATGATTCCACGGGAAACGACCCAAGGGCTAAAATGCAAATACACCTCGAATACTCGGGGACTGTTATCGACAGTCAACACATTCGAGTACTTGAACTCGAATTTATAAGACCTAAAAGAGGCATCCCTCGACGCAAAGGCCAAGGCCATCATACTCGGGGACTAACCTTTCGGACAAGTTCGAAAGGTTATCGGGAAACAAGTCCAAGAGACATATCCGAAGGCTACAACCATATTAAAGACTACGGTCATGTAAAAGGCTACGGCTGAAATAATGCGCCTCGAAGACGTCCGGCTTCCACCATAAATTAAAGGCCTTCAAATACTTCGAAAAACCGGTTAAACTCGGCTACCCTCGGCAAAAGCAAAAAGGCTTCGATAAAATCAACCTTCGAATAATTCAAAGGCTTCAATAACATCAGCCTTCGAAAAAGCCTCAAGAGGTATTAACACGAATGGGTTCTGATGGATTGACCCCTCAAAAAACCCAACCGGTACAAAAAACACATACTAAGGCATAAAGAAATTTTCACTAAGTTTTTTAGCCGAAAAGAGGGAAAAAATATAACCGTCTTAAAGGCTGAATTGGCCCAACTTAAAGAGCCTAAGGGCCGATCTAAAAAAGCCTAAGGGATAACTTTACTTCGAGTTCTAGCAAGTGCTCACTCGACTACTAAGCCCAAAGGCTATACGATTTCGAGAAAATTCTCACTCGGGGACTATCTATAAAGCATAAGGGCTAACTCTATTTCGAGTTCGAGCAAGTACTCACTCGACTATTAAGCCCAAGGGCTACCCGAGTTTGAGAAAATTCTCACTCGGAGATTATCTATGAAGCCTAAGGGATAATTCTATTTCGAGTTCAAGCAAGTACTCACTCAACTACTAAGACCAAGGGCTACCCGAGTTCGAGAAAATTCTCACTCGGGGACTATCTATGAAGCCTAAGGGATAACTCTATTTCGAGCTCAAGCAAGTACTCATCGACTACTAATCCCAAGGGCTACCCGAGTTCGAGAAAATTCTCACATGGGGACTATCTATGAAGCCTAAGGGCTAACTCTATTTCGAGTGCGAGCAAGTCCTCACTCGATCATAAAAGCCCAAGGGCTATCTTAACCCGAGTTCGAGCAAACCCTCACTTAGGGACTATCCATATAGACTATGGGCTAACTTTACTTCGAGTTCGAGCAAATCTTCACTCGGCTATAAAGCTTAAAGGCTATTTTCATTTCAAGTTCGAGCGTGCACTCACTCATTTGTCAAGCCCAAGGGCTACCTTACCTCATCGACTGTTGAGCCTACGAGCTACTCAAACTCAAGTTCGAATGGTCATTCGAGGATCATTGATTAGAAACGTTCGAGGGCAGAACTTATTGTCGGTCATTAACATCTCAAACTTTGGACATTTAAAAGGAATTTTATGCTAAGGCGCTTTGACCCGCACAGAAGGGTAACAGATTTAAAAAGCCATGGAAGGAAAAGGGCTTTGTATAAACCTTTTTGCAAGAGCTATAGATCACGATCGAGAGTTCCTCGCAAGGGCCAATCAACCTCAAAAGCGAAAAATTACTAAGAGCATGAAACCTAAGCTGCACGGTCCTTATCGGCGGAAGTGTCTTCGCCCTCAGAATCTTCCCCGCCGTCGGACTCGCTAAAAGTTCTCGGAGTTTTCCTCGGGAAAGGCCGGCTTCCAAGCTTTCGTTTCTTCAGTCGTTTGCATCACGATGATGATGTCGTGGCAAATCGGGGTAGAAATCAAGGACTCAATTCGTTTCTTGTCGTTATACTCTGAGAAACACGGGGACTATCTGTATACGGTAAAATCAGGTGCCCCCGATTTAGTAGGCCCGAAACGTTGCACCAAGGGCAGAAGTTCGATAAAGACCAGGCTCGGGCTTGAAGGAAGAATAAGGGGCTCGGAGACCTAAGTGTTCGAGGAACATCAGAGTCAAGTATGACCAACTCGGAGATAGTGTCGTTGTGAGTTTGTTACAGAAGGACAAGATTCTCGCCGCGTCCCCAAGATCATGGCATAAATTTCGAAATAGATTTGTACGAATTAGTACAAATCCTTACCAGGCGGTTATACAACTGTCCCAATAAGATTTTTTTACTATAAATGGAAATGTACTTTATTTAGGGCTCCCCTCCTATATAAAGAGGACCCCAATCATTTGTAAAGATCTATCTAATCATTAGGCAAAGAATATACTATCCTACTTTTGTCTTACTATTCATCAGAATTGTCCTTTACATTCATTATTCTTATTTTACTGTTCTTAGTTCATCTCGAGGTCGCTAAGCTCGAGGTCACCACTGCTGAGTAACATTGATTTGATTCATCAGAATTTGCTATGCGCGGGGTCCGGGGAAGGGCCGGACCACAAGGGTCTATTGTACGCAGCCTTACCTACATTTCTGCAAGAGACTGTTTCCACGGCTTGAATCTGTGACCTCCAGGTCACATGGCAGCAACTTTACCAGCTACGCCAAGGTTCCCCTTCTTATCACTAAAATTACTAGGACAATTAATAAATGGAGTGATTATTTTCAGACAGCAAATTCAGTTACATTGAAGGGGAGCCTTGTCACAACTAGTAAAGTTGCTACCATGTGACTAGGAGGTCACGGATTCGAGCCGTGTAAACAACCTCTTGCACAAATGCAGGATAACGCATAGCAGGAGCTTAGTGCACCTGGCTGCCCTTTTAGCAAATTCAGATACAATCAGAATAAATGAGTATGTTGTAATGGTGATGTCACACCTCCTTTTTCCTACACCCTGGAAGGGTATAAGAGAATTTTTTCAATTAAAGGACAATCGAAACGGGATTTATTTATTAAAAGATTCAGAGTCGCCACTTGGAAAATTTATGGCATCCCAAGTCACCGGTTCAAATCCCGAATCGAGGAAAAGATTGACTCTGTATTATAGTCCGCGAACCAGAAATCCGGGTAAAGAATTCTGTTAACCCGGAAGAAGGTGTTAGGCATTCCCGAGTTCCATGGTTCTAGCACGGTCGCTCAACTGTTATTATTGGCCCATTATCTGATTTTAGAACATTTTGAACCTATGTGCATTTTAACTTTATAACCGCTTTTATTCATTTTAAGGAAGATTTCAACGTCAGCCAAAACACATCTTTTGACCGCGCCGCAGTCTGAGACATATTGTATTTGACGTTGTTAAGATTTGGATTTGGGTCACATGAAATGTGCACTCGAGTTTAGGAAGGTAATATTATTAAAATAACGCGCCTAAAGCAACTACACGTTTTTAACTTTGCGAGGGCCATGGAAAATTTGCTAAATGGCACGCCTCGAATTTTAAGGATTTTAAAAGAAATAATTAAATGAGGGCCACGCATTTGAGATTTTTGTTTGGCACGGCGCACCTCAATTTATTTTAAAAGGGAATTCAAACTAAATTTTGGAGGGTCATAAATTATCTTTATTGTCTAATTTGGCACACCTCCGATCTACTTTTAAAAAGAGGTTGATTAACTAACTAAATGACTAAGGGAATTTGCACTTATTTCAAGGCTGATGTTCAACTAAATTTAATAATTAATGGGCTAGCGTAAAAGAAAATCGAGCATTTGGTTGAAAGGGCTTGGGCTGGCAGCTGGCCCAGTCGTCGCATGCTGACTCTCGTGATTAAACGTCGGAGAAAATTGGGCTCCAGTGAAGCCTGGTCTGAGAGTAGAATCAACAAAAGGGGGAACTTTGAACATAAATGGGCCAACGACAGCAACCTAATCTGCACCACCTAAACGAGGTTGTTCAAAGGCATGCTGGGGAAGGAGCAATGGTGGACCAGATGGCCAGACCTTGACAAGGCCCACCCTAAACATTCACAACAAAATACTGAACTAGTTTGAGACTCATATTACATAAATGACCATATTGCCAACTTCAAAACCAAGTTTATCAATTATAATAACCATATGGTTCTAAATGGTAAATATGTTTGCCAATCTTAACCCAACAATTCTATTAGAGCATGCCTTTAATTACAAAAGAAATCGATTATAATTGCACTTGACACCATGCCTAACAACACGAAATGCCAACAGTCCCTTGAAAGAAATAGTCCCAAATAGATGCAAATACTAAGTATGACAAATTGTTTTAAAACTAAGACACTTACATATTCCAATCAACCATCTATGCTAAGTTAACATTGACAGACTTCAAATGGGGAATAAACCGATCAACCTTATTCAAAGGAGTACTCAAACATTGAGCAATGAAACTAATTAAGCTCAACTCAACTAAAGAAATGCGAAACAAAGAGCTAATTACCATGGTTCCACTTCAAACTTTCATACAATTTTAACACTTAAACATGAATCACTAGAGCAATTATTATTACAAATCTATTACGTTTAAGAAAAAAAATAAGAGGAGAAATGGACAAGAAGCTAAATAAACCGAGCAGAATATGAAAACCAAGCTTCAAACAAATAGCAGTTTTTATTGAACTTCAACAGAAACAAACTTTCCATACAAAAGCCACATTCACAGCTTCAATTTCCATTCAAAGTTCAAAGAGATACCTGGAGATTGAAAGAAAAAGAAGTGAGGAAAGCAGTAGACAGCAGCAGAACCAGAACTTCAGCAGCAAGAAATAATCAGTAAAACCAATTTCAAACCAGAAACATGATGTGCAGCAGTCTAAAAAACACGGTTCAATCGAATAATAACCCAGCAAACTTCAAACCAAACTTTTACAAGACCCAAATTCAATCCATTTCCACCCCAGATGAATCAGAAATTGTTTCAGAAATTTTAAAAAAAACTTCAAAAATCATAGAAGAAGTTCAATGAAACAGTGATTTTATTGAAATTTTCAGCCATTTTTGTTTTCTCTGGATTATGTCTCTACTTCCTGACTTGAGTGTCAAGTTAAGGTGCCTTTATAGGCAAGCTACTAGGGCAACCTAAAGAAAATCAGGTTTGCACTTTGCACCTTCTAAAATTTTCATTTTAGCCTAAGTGCCCCTGTTGTAAATTTCAGCATTTCAGAATAGTCCCAAACCCCAGCTTCCTAGAAGCTTCCTATTCAGTTATTCAAAGATTCCTTAGGCCTAAGTTCCTAAACTACCCCTTAAGCACCTGGAAATCACCCCTGGTCCAGGCAGAGATATGGGTCAAATTGACCCAATTTGAAGTGTTGATGGGTCAAGTTTGACCCAACACTTAAAAGGCCCCTACGAAGGATTCAAAAATGACATCGAAGGCCCAAACAATATCAAAAGCTCATTTGAAAATTAGAAGAACAAAATTACTTGATTTTTTCATAACTAAACTAAGCTCAACTGACTGATCTTCTTTTAAATTAAAACAATGAGCTACAAATAAATCACATATTCGAATTAACCTGAGCCAATTATATGACTGGAAAAACATAACAGAACTTGAACGGGCAATATGCATAAACTAAAACGGAATTTACAAGAACTTCTACAAGAAAATTTGAAAAGCTCACGGAATAAATACAAACACCATATAAACACATAAACTTATAATCAATGCTTTAATATTTTACCAAATTCAAATCAAGAAATCCAACTAAGGAAAGACTGGAGGAAAAGGAGAGGGACAAAGAAAACGAACAGAAAAGAGAAGAAGCAGAAAAATAGAAAAAGAAAAAAAAGTGAAGAAAATTCCTACTAAAGCCCGGACAGTGGAGAATGGAACCTGAATCTTCAAATCTTCGAATTTTTGGCCAAATCTGATATTAATCGTGTGTTCTTGTAAAGAACATACAAATAATGTCATATTAGACCTAAATGTTTCACAAAAACTCGATTTGGGATTTTTTGAATTTTAGGGTTCATCTTCAAACCCAGATTCGACGGGTCTGGTGAAGATTCGAGGGAAACCAATCAGGGATTTAGAACGAGGGAGTCGTGGTGGTCTTGTAGTATCAATTTGGGATGGATTGGGAGACGGCACCGCCACCGGAGGAAACTAGGGCGGCGCTAGGGTTGAGGTTTGATCTCTGAAGAAAAAGGCAATGAAAGAGATGAGTTAGAGTGGGGGTAGGCGGATTCGGACACTTATATGTGACAAAGACCCCAGTTCCTGGCCTTCTGATCACGCAGGATCAACGGCTCAGATCGAGAACCTGGGAAACGGGGTCGTTTGGTCAGCTGAACGGGTGGACCGGGTATTGGGGGGAAGCTGGGCCGGACTCGAGCGGGTACGGGGAATAAGTTCATTTGGGTCTGCCCAAATGACCCAAATCACAGCCCCTTTTTATTTGACTTTTTCATTTTTAATCAATTTTTCCTTTTCAAATTAAATCAAATCCTAAATTACTCTTAAACTAAATATTTTACCAAATTAAGCTAATTACTCAAAATAATACTTACCACAACTAATTAATTCCAAATTAAAAGAAATTCAAAGTTAAGTAAAATGCAAAAATGAGTCATTTTTGTGATTTTTTCTATTTTTGTCAAACAAATTAATTTACTAATTAATCTAAGATGTAAAATTAAGTCCTATATGCAAATGTATTACATTTTTTGTATTTTTCATGAATTAAACAAAAGTAACGTGCACAGACAAATACAAACAATTAACGAAAAATGCCACAAAAATCCACGAAATTACAAACAACGAAAAGAAATTATTTTGTTTTGAATTTGTGGGAGTAATTCATATAGGGCAAAATCATGTGCTCACAGGTAACAACTGTAAATCATTCCAAAGAGTTGAAATTAAAAAAGATAGAATTGCTGAGTTGCTTTTCACATGTAAACTCACCAGGTGCCTTGGTTGTGACAAGGTTGGATTAGCAGTATAACATGATGATGCTGTTGCTGATGAGGGAACAAGAAAGTGTAAAACTGGGTTTGTTAGTGAATTTGGAGCTTGTGCTATAAAGGGCAGCAAAGAAAGCAAAAGTAGTAGAGATGATGCGTCACGACCCAATTTTATTATAGGTCGTGATGGCGCCCAACACCATTGTCAGGCAAGCCAACGCGAAAATATTAATAAGTTCTCGTTTTAGTTTACCAAAACAAGTATAACAATTACTTACTTTGAAGTTAAAACAAGTGATAATTAGTAACGTACCAAAAATAATTATACAATCCTCAAAAGAATAGTCTACTAATGTGTGTGCCAAGACCTGGTGTCACAAGTATGTGGGCATCTAATAGAATATACAAAAGAGTAAATCTATCCTACTGTCTGAAATAGAATAGACAGCCAAAAGTAAAGAGAGACTCCATCAAGATGATGAACGGCATAGAAAGGGAGCAGCTCACCGTGGAAGTCTCGGACTATGATCAAGAACGCGCACCAGACTGGTATCCAAATGTAATTGCCTCAGATCATGTACAATTAAGTACAAAAACGTAATATGAGTACATAAATAATATGTACTCAGTAAGTATCCCGCCTAATCTCGAAGTAGAGACGAGAGGTCGACTTGATACTTACTAGGGTCAAATAATATAATAAAGTGTTATGCTAAGCATGGATGTCATAAATAAATAATAATTTATAGCAAAAAGTGATCGGTCATGTCCTAGATAATATCACAGCTAGCCATTTATATTTCAGAGCATCTAACAAAGTAAGTCATGAATAAGATTTCACATAAATATCATGCGCACGTTATGCCGAGGTCGTACGGCTCGGTCCAACAGAAAAGAAACTGTGCACTGCCAGAAGGTCGAATGGCGCGGACCATAGATGCATCTATTTCTACCGAGACGATCGGCCCAATGCACAAATATCAATTATCATTAAGAAAATGCATAAAAGGCGCATTTATATTCAAATAATTCATACAAGTGTTCAAGAAAGTGCATACGTTCACATATGTTCATTTCGAAATCTCTAGCATATCCTAAGTGATCTTATTAGCATGAAAGGATATAAACAATCACAAATATGGCATGATACGGGTCCTAACTACCCAGACAATTAACATAATAGTGGCTACGCATGGACTCTCGTCACCTAGTGCATACGTAGCCCCCGCATTTAGTGGCAAATTATTCAATTATTTCACCTATGGGGACAATTCCCTCTTACAAGGTTAGAAATGAAACTTACCTCGCTTCACGACCTACTTTTCGGTCCAAGCTTAAGCCCAAATCCTCAATTTGGTGCCACACACGCCAAAACTATCCAAATAGCATAGAAACTAATCAATATAGGCTTAAAAGTTCATATCCCAACCATTAGGGTGATTCCCCAACCCAAATTACAACATTCCTAAAATTCGACCCCGAGCCCACGTGCCCGGATTCTGAAACTTTTTGAAGAAAGTTGTTACCCATAGCCTAAGGATCAAGAATATATGATTTTTATTCCATTCCATAACAAATTTCGTAGTTAAATCTTGTCTTTATCAAAACCCTAGGTTTTCACTCAAATCCCATGATTTTCACTAATTTTAGTGTGTTAATCTACCCAAAACCCAAGTATTAAACTCACATTAAGTAGAAATAACTTACCTCACAATGTTAGGTTGAAATCCCCTCTTTGAAACCTCCCAAATCGCCAAGTGTAGAAGTTAAATGAAATAAATGGCCTAAGTCCCATTTTTAAAAGTTGTGCCCAGGCCTCTGATGTTGCATTTGCGACACCAGGTTCGCAAATGCAACAAAAGCCTCGCAAATGCGAAATCTGGGCTTATGCTGCTGTATCGCAAATGCGACTGAGGATTCGCAATTGTGACTTCTGATGGGATCGCAAATGCGGAACTCTGCCTGGGTCGGGCTCCTTCGCAATTGTGAAGCCCTCCTCGCAACTCGCAATTGCGAGATCTGCTGCAACAACCAAAAACACCAAAAATCTAGTGTGCTCTACTCCCAACCTATGCCCAAAACTCACCCGAGCCCTCGGGGATCCACTCCGAACACTCGTACAAGTCCAATAACATTGTACAAACTTGTTCAAGCGATCAAATTGCCGAAATAACATCTAAAACTACGGATTCAAAACCAAAACGCATGAAATCCTTAAGAACATTCAAATTCTTATTTTTACAACCAGACGTCCGAATCACGTCAAATCAATCCCGTTTCTCACCAAATTTCACAGACAAGACTTAAATGTTATATTGGACATGTACCGGGCTTTGGAACCAACATACGGACCCGATACCAACATGATCAAGCGTTATTCAATTTCATTAAATCCTTAGAATTTCAGTTTAACAATTTCTAACAAAAATTCATTACTCGGGCTAGGGACCTCGGAATTCGATTCCGGGTATACGCCCAGGTCCCATATTTTCCTATGGACCCTCCAGGACCATCAAAACACAAGTCCAGGTCCATTTATTAAAAATGTTGACCAAAGTCAAACTTAGCCTTTTAAGAAAATCTTAGGGAATCAAGTGTGCCTATTCCAACCCAAACTCTTCCAAATCCCGAACCAACCATCCCCGCAGGTCATAAATTAGTTAAAGCAAGCGAGGGAAGTCTTATTTAGGGGGACGGGGTTCTAAAAATCAAAATGACCAGTCGGGTCATTACATGATGATCAGATTGAAAGGAATGTGAATCAGATTAGCAATTATAGCTATGGTGAAGCTGAGGCATTGACTGATGAGATAGAGCAAGAGTCTTAAACTGTTGGGAGGTCCTATGGATCAAAGAAATCACCCATAACAGTCGAGATGATGTTCGTATCTATCGATCGAGTTTGATTCACTTCAATCGAACTATTTTGCTTTTTTGGTTTTGTACTTAGGTTCTAAGAGGTCGTTTGGTAGGAGGTATTAGAAAAAATAATGCAAGCATTAGCTCTATGCATTACTAATACCTTGTTTGGTACATTTTTCAACTTATGTATGACTAATACTTCTATTAGTTATACATCATACTTGGTATTATCCTATGTATAAGTAATGCATAGAAAATCATGGAATTAGTAATACCAATGCTATTAATGCATACATTAGTATGGCTAAAGATAGAATTGTCCTTAAAGTCCCTTAAAGCTAGAGAATATGAAGTGCATTTTTGTAAACAACTATTTTTCTTAAAAATTATGCAATGCATTATAATTTTAATACATCACACCAAACAATAGATAAGAAATAATATTTGCATAACTAATGCTCACATGCATTACTAATACATGCACCTTATTCCACACCATTCTTATACACCCTACCAAACGCCCTCTAAGGGTTTTGTGGTGTTTTTAGACCTTATGAAGTAAGATTTTTTAAAATTGTGCATGACTGTGGTTAGTCTAAAAAACTTATGAGGATTTTGATATAAGAAGATGTCACGACCCATTTTCTGAACAAGCCATTGTCACACCTCCCTTTTTACCAACCGAGAGGGAGATATAAGGGGATTTTTTCAATTTAAGTGACATTAATCGAAATGAGATTATTTTATTTATTTTATCAAAGTCGCCACTTGGAATAGTTTATTTGGTGTCCCAAGTCACCGGTTTGTTTTAAATCCCAAATCGAGGAAATTTCGACTTTACTTTATAAGTCTACGAACCAGAAATTCTAAGTAAGGAATTCTGTTAATTCGGGAGAAGGTGTTAGGCATTCCCGGGTTTCGTGGTTCGAGCACAGTCACTTGAACTATTAAAATGGCCTAATTATCTGATTTACTACATGTTTTAAAACCTATTGTGCATTTTTAGCTTTATAACCGCTTTTAATTGTTTTTAGGGAGACTCAGTGCTATTTAAAACACGTCTTGAACCACGCTACATGAAATGCACCCGCAGTTCGCGACACGTTCTATTTAACATTGTTGAAGATTGAAATTGGGTCACATGAAATGTATACCCGATTTTTTTTTAAAAAAAGGCAACTACGTCACGGGAACCGTACCCGTAGCTATGATGAATTATTTAAAGAAATGCGCCTAAAGCAACTACGAAGGTTCAATTTTAATAGCAACATTTGTGAGGGACATGGATGATTTAATTTATTTATGGCACACCTCAAACTTTTTCTATAAGTGTTAGCTTAATTTATATGAGGGTCATGAGAAGTATGGATACACAATCATTGTGAGAGAAGGTTGTAGTTTGGCTATCATTATTATTAAAGCATAATTTATACCTTGAACTTATTAAAATGTTTCAACTTAATATATTGCTAACATTTAATACTTAGATCATTTTGGGAGAATCGATGGTTAACGGGCACACTTACTGCCACAACGTTGATCCAGTAATTCAAATATCAAGATATTAGCCACCTTGTCATATGAAACGAATGTATGCGTTTCAACTTTTTTAAAGAATGTCCTAATAAATTATCTTCATCCTTATTAACCAATCCAATCACATGGGATGGTTCACTTGCTTTTTCATCCATGTGACTCATCAATACTAAAGAAATCTCTAAAAAAAAGAACATCTGAAGTTTATCATTTTCCAATTCCAACAAAACGACTCATAAAGGAAACGACAAAATATTATTGAAACAAAAACATGAACTCATTCAAATCTAGTTACCTACAATGCAGAGGAGCAAACATAACTTATTGACATTTAATAGCTATACAAAATTGATATTTACGTGTGGTCATTCATGTAGAGAAAACAGAATAGCATATTAGGTAACGAAATAACCACTATNATTTAATGAAAACTCTCAAAGCTAGGTCCCATTGTTCAGGAGGGTCCTGAGAATTCCTAATTGATTCCTATCTAAAACATGCAAACTTTGAAATTAACTTATGTTCCTTTGGGGTACACTTACGCTAGATCTTGTTTTTCATGATTGTTTCAATTTTTTTTTTAAAAAAGCTAGGTCCCATTTTCCAGGAGGGTCCTGAGAATTTCCGACTAAATTGGGAAAAGGCAGAAAAAAATGGCGTTTTTGCTTGGGGAAAACGTTGAGGAAACAGAAAATCATAATCATTAATCTAGGGAAGAAGAGAAGTCAGAATCTTTGTTCTCATGGGGTAATGTCCAAAGTGTATCCCAAGCATACAAACTTCGAAGTTCCACTTATAATCTTCTAGGGTGCACTCATGCCAAATTCCGCTACTCATGATTATTTTGAATTTTAAACTAAGTCCAATTTTCCAGGAGGGTCCTGAGAATTTCCGCGATCAAATCTGCCTAGTACTTACTCTTCCTATGAATGATTTCCCGAAACAAATGCCATTT